CCGATATGCTCCACAAAAGTCATTTTACTGAAAATAAAACTATTCAAAAAGTTCAATTCCAAAAATTTTTATAAAAACAAGTTTTAAAAGAGGATAAAAAATACTGTCTGAAAAATATAAACTTTTTATAAATAAACCAAATTTGCAATAGTTTAAGATAAATCTTTTGTCGTTGTATCGCTTAAGAAAATACGCAAATTTTGTTTGGTATTTTTAATATATGTTGGTATTTGTAAGTTAATAAAGCACAATATAATAAAGCACAAAATAATAAAGCACAATAATTTTAAATGTTTTATTTAAAAAAAATTTTGAAAAAAATTAATTTTTAGTTGAGATATTCAGGCATAACTGTCCCGTTAAGCCCAAATGTCCCGATATGCCCCGCTCTACCCTAATATCGGTTGAATATTTGTGAATTTGTTTATTTTATTAAACTATAATAAGTAAATATTTGTATTGAAGCCAAGAATACTCATGAACATTAATATTTATTACTTTTTTCAAATATAATAAGCAAACAGTTTGTATAGCTTCTTATCTCTAAATTAAAGATAAGATTAGATTGTTTAGAGTAATTTAGAGTCTAACGCTGTTAAATCAATCAAAAACAACTAAAAACTGACAAGAGCGTGACTATACAATCAGTTGTAGTAATTTTAATTAATATATAAAATGAAGGCGAACTTTAAAACGACGCACCCTTGACTCGGTTAAATAAAGAATATTTCCGTTTTACTGCTAAAAAATTATTTTTCATTGGCTAAATAGTTATGTTAGACTGAAATGCGTTTTCAAGACTCACTTCCTTACAACAACTGAAAGTAAAATGACTGAAAAGTATATAATAAAAGAGTTTCGGATGCGCCATTTTAATTTATGGAAGTTAAAAAGCTCTTTTCGCGACATCTACCTTCCTATAGGAAGATAGATGTCGGAGTCCATTGATTTTATAAATGACAACAAATCAACGGACTCCGATGCTTTAAAAATTATTGAAGGCAACATTGACACAGTTAAAAAAATGAGTTGCTGGTTTCTCGTTAGAGTCCTGCTGCAAGAACTTTCTTCGTAAGTTTTACAAATAGTTTAAATTCATTTTGTAAACACTAGTATGGTTGTGTAAAAGTAGGTATTCATCTTTGCTATAATCAAGAGGTTTAATAACTAAATATTTATTTTTTTATTTTAGATACATTTTCGCTTAATTTAGTTGAAGTTGCTAAAGAAAATTGGTGGAACAGAGCTGGTAAAAAACACTGCATATGATATGTCGCAACACTACTAATTTTTTAATGTGAAAATAAATATGGATGGTACAGACACTTTTAAAAACTTCCATTAAGAAAATCCGCTATATGTAAAGTTGTTCTGTGTAATTCCAATTTTGATTGATGAATTTACATTTAAAATGCACATTTTTTTACCCTACTTTTTTGCGGTTACAAATCAGGTTACAAAATCAGATGATCAGGATTTGAATGTAGAAGATGATGTTGCTCAAGAACAGGTGCATGATAAACAAGTGGTAGACCGTATACTAGGAAGATTTTTGATTATACATAAACCAGAGAAAACGGTGATCTAAAATATATGTTTATAAGTTTAATAATTTTAATAATAATCTTAATGTAAACTTTTATTTTCTGCTATTGAGATTAAACTTCAAAAATATTTGATAGAAATTGTTACTATAAAATTTCCACTGCAAAAAGCTTGATCATTTAATTTTTTTTTTTTTTGATTATCGAAGAATAAACGAATATAGTGCACAAACATTTTTCATCTAAATCCCCACTATATAAAACGTTTTATTTAAGTTTATAACTTTATATATAGTTTTATAATATAAAAGTATAGTATAAGTAGTATTGTATAAAAGTTTATAAACATATTATAATAGTTATAAAAAATATAAAAAATAAGATAAGATCTTTTATAACTATTTCTTATTCATAAATTTCATTATTTCTATAGCAATATCTTACTTATACATTTCAAGTAATAAGTGTATATACACTTATTACTTATATAAAGTTAAAAAGTTATAACGCAATTTTAATTTGCATTAGTTTTAAATTGAAATTATGTTAACTAAATCAAAGAAACTATTAGGCAAGATCTAAAAGTTTAATATACGTTTAATATACGTTTAATATACGTTTAATATACGTTTACTTAAACTAAATCTAAACGTTAATTAGACTAGATTTAAGTTAAACAAAATTTGAACGCTTTATATGCGTATAATAATCCAATAATAGGCGTATAAAATACGCTTAAATATAGACGTTTTATGGACCTTTGTTCTAAACGTTAATCTGGATTTCATTTTAAACTGATAATCGACCAAATCCGAGCGTTTTGTCAAAAAGTTGTTTTTGAAACATAAAAACAATTCCACGACTGAAAATAAAAAAGTAGTCAAGTTTTATAATTTTTTTTGTGGCTATTTTCAATAAAAGAGAATTGAGAATTGAAAAACGAACCTCTCATGCTAAAATAAATTTAAGTAAATTTAATGGTTTCAAAAGTTATTATTTTCTTATTGTAGCATGATAGAAGTGGACACTTAAAATCTCATTTTAATCATGAATTTATTTGCATGTTCCGTATTATTTGCATATTCCGTATTATTTACGTGTGAAAATAGAGCTAACATGTTCATTTTAACAACAGTCAAATATTTTACTTTTAGAATAAAAAAGAAATTCAAGAAAAAAACGATTTTTCAATTTTCATGTAATATATATTAACAAAAGCATGATAAAGTTTTTTTTTTTTTAAAGTTAACTAAAAAACAAAAATTCTTTATACATACGCAATATATACGCAAGAATATTAAATCTTATGTTTTTACATATAAAGTTTTAAATAACGATACTTAATTAAAGCACATTTTCATTTTAAACTTATGTATCAAAGGTAAAGCTGAATGAATCAAAGATTTGGTGTTTTTTTTAAAGGAGAGGGTAACAAAAGTTTTGATATTTGTTTATAATGTATATTTAATGATCATTAAACTCCACATCTATGAAACAGATAAAAAAATGTAAAACTTGCATTAAAAATCGTTTATCTATACAAAAATGCTAACTGCAATTTCCAAAAATAATTACTGGTGTTTGAAATTTAATAATGCGATCTCAAACAAATCAGTTTTGTCAACTGCTTTCACTTAATTATGAAGAACAAGCAAGTTGTTTAGGCGGGAATCTGCTGTTGTCGATCGCAGGTAACATTTAACTCTTTTTAAAGCGGAGAAAGATCTTTCACTAAGAGCATTAGTAGCATGATAAGAATTAGCTTGGTAATCTTTACAACTTCGGTAAATAAAGCTTTATTAGAGTTATCCAAACTCTTGAAAAACAAAATGAAATCTTTGATAGTAAATTTTTTGATTTCGTAACCTAATGATATTGCAACGTTTGAGAGAAGGGCAATTTGTGATTTAGCTAAAAATTGGTTAATGCCTTGACAGTAAAAGTGACACACTGATTGCAGATGATTTTTCTAACTTTACCTCTTTATTGACTTGAGAAGAACTTCCTGAAGTCCAATATATACCTTATAGTCAGGTAGATCAAACCTCTGTTTTATAAAACTGATAATAAGATTGAAAGCTAAAACGAACTTATTCCTTTTGGATGACCACAAACGATGATTATATCACAATACAAATAGTTTTTCTTTGCTATACTCGTCTATCAGATCCTTACGTACAAAGCTTTGTTTTTTACGTACAAGGCTATGTATTTGCTTTATTTCTACTTATGAATTTCAAATGTCACGTTAAGTTCACGTGAAACTTATTGCAGAGTCGCAATTAAAAGGGGCTTGATGATAAGACTCCAGTCTTCTACTTGCTCCTGTCATTATTTTAATTTTTTATCTTATTTATAAATGTATGTATGTAGAATATATATTGACAGAATAAATTAAAAAAAAAAAGCTTCAAAGTACAATTGGCAATAACGTTCTTTTGGTGAATCATGGAAATGGTAGATTTTTTGTGGGTTAAGAGTTTTTTTAATCAATCTGACATCTCTGAAGATTCATTTTTACTAGTCAAATTTTTTGCGTGATAAAAGTTTTATTATAATTAAGGGACTTTTTATTAAGAGTTTATTTGTCTTAACCTAATCGGAAATTCTTACTTTATTCATATTATGAAACTGTAATGTAATATTATTGAGAGATAAAAATATGTCTGTGTCGTCTACAAACATAATCGTCATTAACTTGGCTTTTTGAAAATTGTTGATGTTAATAAGAAAGAGCAGCCGTGGCGCAGTGGTTAGAGTTCTGGCTCAGAACCCAGTGATCCGAGGTTCGACGCCAGCTCTAGCCCAACAAACAACATTGGTATGGAAGGAGACGTGAACTTCCTGTTAAATATTCTTCCGCATTTAACAGCAAGCTCTTATCTATTATCCTTAACTATAATATTTTTAACGAAAAATAACGCATTTTAAATTTAAAGCATTTATTTATAGTTGAGCAACATTTAATTATTATTAAGCAATATTACTATTTACAATTTACATTACCTCCGACGTCACTATTTACACTTCAGAGTACCTCCGACGTCACTAATTCCACTTCAGAGTACCTCAGACGTTACTGTTTACACATCAGAGTTCCTCAGACGTAACTGTTTACATTTCAGAGTACCTCAGACGTCATTACTTACAGATCAAAGTACCTCAGACGTCATTGCATACACTTTAGAGTACCTCAGACGTCATTGTTTACACTTCAAGATACTTTAAACGTCACTGTTTACACCTCAGTATACTTTTTGTTTTGTACCTCAAGATATCTTCACAACTCAAGATATCTCAAGATACCCAAAGTTTAATTCTTATAGTTTTGTGAATTTTGTTTAAACATGAACCAATTAATTGGTTTGCACCAATTTTACAATATAGAACTGTTTTATTAGAAATAAACACGTCGTTAAAATAACATTTATCATATATTTATAAGTAAAAAATAAGTTTTCATTAAATAACATTTTTTTTCTTTTCATTTTAAATAATAAAAAAACTCATAAAATTTATTTGATATTATCTTATAATTAGCTGAAACCGCTTGATACACGATTAATACGATTTATTGCACGGCTCGTTGTAAAAGTTGAGCGGGTTTGATTACGATTTTCGCTCGAACTTACTGTTTCCTTCGTTGCATTTCTCTTTCCAAGGAATGAACGCCACTGGTTTCTAACATCATTATTTTGAGCAACGTAAAATACAAATATAAAAAAACCTTGCAAAGAATTAAAAATACAAAACAACCACTGAAAAACATCTCGAAGACTTCCAACGGCTAAAACTGCAAATATCCACGTTGTTCCAAGCAATAATGAACATCCCAATGCAATACGCGCTTTTTTTTTAATATCAATTCTATTTGCAACGTTAGAATTAGCACCAATACCTCTTAGAACAAGGAATAGGAAAATAAAATTGACGATTATCACCATGCATATCGGTAACAGTATTCCACAGTAAAATGAAATACCTCGAACAATGCATCTATGGATAGCAAAAACACCACATTTAGAAAAAATACACAAAGAATCATTAAAAGATAAAATAATCAATGAGAAACTCACATCTTTGGATCATTGTCCGTTAGTGGACCTAAATTAGCAGGCTTAACAGCTGCTGTAACAACGGTAACTATAAGTGGTACACCTAAACAAAGAAACTTAAACACTGAATTAATATATATATATATATATATATATATATATATAATATATATATATATATATATATATATATATATATATATATATATATATATATATATATATATACACACACACATATATATATATATTTTTTTTTATATATATATTTAAAACATGTTAAATGTACACTTTTATTTATGAAGCTTTCAGAAAGATTTCAAAAGTATTTATGCAACATTCATATAACAACTCTATATACAGGACTCGACTAAGAATTAACCAATAATTCTAACATATTTATCGACTTCAGAAAACTTTTTGATTTAGTAGATTCCAAATTACTGATTTTGAAGCTAAAACATTATGGTTTTTCAACTGATGCTTTGAACTTAATAAGCAACTATTTTCATAATGGAAAAATATTTACCAAGTTTAAGATGCATGTTCTGACGAAGAACAATTTGATATCGGTATACCACAGGGTTCTGTTATAGGACCACATTTTTTTTTGATTTTCATCAATTATCTACCTAACATTATTTAAATCAATATTATTTGCAGATGACACAACACTTATGACAAGTTATACCACTTTAGACCATCTAATAACAAAAACTCAGTCAGCATCTAATAATTTTATTGAGTGGTGCCATGCTAATAAACTCGACATCAATTGGAATAAAACTAAAGCAATGGTTTTATCAAATAAGCATATATCTAAAATAATATTGCCAACATCAATCATAATAAGTGATAATTTTAAAATTGAATTAGTTGATAAAATTTCTTTGCTAGGTGCTAGGGATGAAATATTTGTGGAAATTTTCTACTCGGGAAATTTTCCCCAAAAATTTCGGAAATTATCAAAAAGAGATAATTTTTTTATAAATAATAAGTAAAATTGTCTTATTTAGGAAGCTGTTATGGACAATTTTATGGTAAAATATTGTGAAGTAGATTAAATAAATTTTAGAAAGCCCTCTTTAAAAAACACTTTTTTTGGTATTTTGTTGAGTTTTTTTATTGTAAATATAAGCAGCAACTATATAATATTTTGTTTTCAATATTTTCTAAAATTATTTTATCATGTTATTTTCTAAGCATATTGAAGTTCATTGCCGTAGCAAGCTTTGTTTAAAGCTAAACATAACTTGCATCTCCATTTATACAAGGGAAGGGATAGTCGCAAAAGGCATCTTACAGAATCACAACGCTTTCAGTAAAATCGACATTAAAACATCTTAAAATTGCTTTAAAGATCATAAAGAAAACTTTACAAACAATCCAACTGTCCGTTTATTAAATCCTGCCGAAAATAAAAATAGCAAAATTAGTCAAGTTATACTTTTCAATATAAACTCTGAACTTGTGAACATACTCCATCTCAACCAGTAGAAAAAACACAAGATGCGAAAAATTGATTCAATTCTATCAGTGATAAACATCTTTATAAATTCCTTATTTTTGATAGTGTTGATTTCTACCCGAATTTTAATTACAATCTTTCATACCGCCCAATTTTAAATTTACCTCACACCAAGAACCATAAACGCAACCTCATTTGGTTCAACCCTTCTTTCAGTAAAAAATTTAGCACTTATGTATGAAGAAACTTTTTAACCTTAATCAATAAACTCTTCCCAATATGTATACCGAATAGGAAATCTATTTTAAATGCATACAATCGTCACATTATAAACAACACCAACATATCACCTAAAATCAACTGCAACTGCCTTAATAAGAATTCCTACCCTTCATTAAACCAATGCTTAACAAAAAACATCGTATACTAAGCTAATGTACGTTCCAACAGGGCCGACGACACGGGTTTCGAAAGGGAGGGGGGGTGAAACAACCGCCAATTTTTTAAAAAAGTCGTCTATATCTAGAATTTTCTTATTAAACTCATACTGTTATCAATAAGATCTACATTGATAAAAGCGAAACACCGTATAAAATTTTGAAACTAAAAGATGCCAATTTAAACATAGTTGTCAAATAAAAAATAATCCAACAATGCAATTCTTATTACTCTACCACGAAATCCTATAAATTATGCAAAAATATTTCAGTTATGCATAAATTATTCTTTAATAAAAAGTATGAAATTTTATTCTCCAAAAGTCCAAATCTTTTAAATAAAAAAAAGTGAAATAATATTTATGTGCAGACACAGAAGCAAATTTATTTTTGCCCATACGGCTGATTAACCAATTTTCTATTTCAATTTATTTTGTTTTGATGTCAGAACTCATTTTATTGCTTTGTTATTGTTTCTTGTATTTTGTATTTTTTATTGGCTTTTTCTTGATTTAAAAAATAGATATGGCTGATGTGTCCTGATAAGCATGAAACTTTAAGTTCCGTCACAATGTTCTATTTTTTCATTTAATCTAATATTACATATACAAGTATTGATCTATTTTGTAAGCAATTTACATTGTATTGATGACTCTTAAACGAATAAAGAGCTTTTTATCGAATTTTGATATAATAAAGAGCAATACATCCATATATACATAGACAGGTCTTGGTGGGAAGAAATGAGTGCGAGAACGACGTAAAGTTCTTCTAAAACGAACATGGCGAGCAGGATGAAGAAAATGAATTTAAAAATGACAAGTTTAATAAAACAAAAACTTCATCAAAATTAATTGTAGACCCAAAATCATTAACTTATGGTTGGGTTATTGGTCCATCGCTATTCCTAGACGTAACATATCGACTTTAACTCTAAATATTGCTACATTGCAGCTTATTGTTTACCTGAATAAAAAAGCAATAAACCTGTTTATAATGTTAGAGATTGATTAACAAAAACAACAATAAAATAATAATACAATAAAACCTGCAGATCGTGATTGTGCAGCTGGGCTTTATTAAAAATTTATTTCAAAATAATCTTTTTGCTAAAATAAATTTTTTATTAACTTTTTGGTTTTATGTCAGTCTGAATAATTAACTTTATTTTATTGATAAATAAATATTATTTCAAAATCTTTTATATATATATATATATATATATATATATATATATATATATATATATATATATATATATATATATATATATATATATATATATATATATATAAATATTATTACTATTTATTTATTTTTTTTACCTATTTTTTTTTTTTTTTTTTCTGCAAATATTTTGAAACTTTTATATTGATAAAAACATTTTAAATTTTTAATTATTAAGTTTGTTTTTTTATTTATTTTCTGTATTTTTACTTTTAAAAAATAAATATACTATTTTAATTTTAGAATCTGTGGTTGCTGTAAACATGTTGGTGCACTTTTATGGTATGTTGAACATAGTGTAAAGATTGGTGACAATAAAACATGTACATTCAAACCTCTCGAATGGCTCAAACCATCAAAAAAAGTTCTAAAACTATATGGACCATCAGTTCTAAGTGAAATTGAAATAGTAAAACCTCTATTAAAAGATACCTTAGTGTTTACAAGAAAAAAACTTTCAAATTGTTTAGATTTTAATCCACGAACTACAAATCAACGAGAAGTTTCCATGACAAAGAAAGATTTAGATTCTTTGTCACAAATAACAAATTTTAATTGTGGATATGTCATGCTTATGCAAAAAATGTTGCTCCTATGCTTGATATTTCCAATGTTGCTCAAGAAATCGAAGTCCTTGCATCCATCTCTCCATGAAACACCTTTATGAAGTTGCTACTTACTTAGATTGTAAGATTACTTATAAAGTTTTATTGATGCAGTTTGCTACAAATTTTGACGAGATTTCTGAACTAGAACACTTAACAAGAAAGCAGTCATGTAATCGTGATTAGCATAAACACCGCAAAAGCAAAGTCACTGCATCAAAAGTTTATAGTGTTGTTCATAAAGTAAATAATGACCTAGAGATTTTATGTCAAGAAAAAATAACAACCATTATCATTGGCGTATTATGTAAGTTGAAAAGTTTTTAAAACGAAAGCTACTTTCTGGGGATTACGCCATGAAAAAAATGTACTTGAAGCATACTTAGAAGAAAATAAAAAAAATCATAGATTTATGAAAGTGACTGAGTGTGGTTTATTTGTAAATAAAGATTTACCAATAGTTAGTGTATCACTTGATTCATTGTGATTGTTGTGGCACTGGATGTGTAGAGGTTAAATGTCTTTGGACTCATAAAGGTTTAACCAGAATTTGCCGCTATCAAAGGCACATGTTTAATATTTGAAAAAAATACAGTTGTACTTGATCCTCAACATTCTTATTATAGTCAAGTGCAGTGTCAAATGGCTTCAACAGGTTTTTTAGATTGTGATTTTGTTGTTGGAACTTCAAATGACTTATATAGTTATCCTGTTCATTTTTCAATTGATTTTTGGAAAAATTTTGTTAAAAATATTGAATATTTTTACAAAACTATGATTTTGCCTTATATGATAAATGAAGTGATCTCCAATTCTGTAGAGTCTGTTTTGAATGAAACTTTATTTAAAATTTTTGACAATGATTAAATTGACAATGAAATTGATTTTTTTATTTTATATTATTTAATATTACTAAAGGTCAAAGTAAGGGCTGTAAACTAAATTTTTTTTTGTTAATTACATTTATTTAGTTTGTTAGAAATATTTTAATGTTTTAAAATGTCTTGTAATTTAAATATTATTATGATTCTTGTAATCAACTAAAGGAGGTGCTAATTAGTAGTAGCTACAATTATAATAAAAATATGGTCTATTAAATCAATTAAATTCAGCGGTAAAGGTATTTTCAGCAATCGAAAGTCGTTTACGCGAGTAAATGCATGCTCTACGCAAATTCTTGCTCGGGCTATCAGGGCAGTTTTAGAAGTTAACTTACTGGTAAACTTTCCTTTGCTTTTAAGAAATGGTGGTATTACTAATTTAACTTTCCTTGCAATTAAAAGATGGCTGATTTTCCTTTATCCACAACTATAACATCTCCTTCATTTAATGTGTCGAGGTAACCTGATGTTTTGACAATATATTGATCTGAAGATGAACCACCATATGCTTGAGATACATAATTAATCATTCCGGAAGGCGCTATGTCTTTTTTTTTCTTTCTTTCTTTTTTAAGCTTTTTTCCAATTGTTTTAATTTTTGCAGCTCGAATATGTTTGAGCTTGCGCTTTGGCAATACTTTGTCGCTTACATTGATCTTCTGTGCAGTCGAGTATTGAGACCCCATTATCTCAAAAAGGCTGAAAATATTCTGGGTAACAAGTTTTATTTTGCTCCCGAGTAACTAAGTAACCTGATAATATGCTAAGCTTACTTATCTTCATCGTTTCTCGGATAGTTATGGCATACTAAAACAGCACAATCTTGATTAATCTTTTTTTTTACTAAATGCTAACATTTTAGTTTGGTATTTAAATTTTTATAACAAGTAAAAAAAGTTGTTTTTATCTCAGCATTTTCTATAAAAGCACTGTTTTGAATTACCCCTTAGGATGATTAAGAATGGACTATCCTAAAGGGTAATTCAAAACAGTGCGGCAAAAAGCATGCGGTTCCACTGGGAACAGATCCATTGAAACAAATAATCACGTTTTAGCATGGTTTCTTTTAAAGTCTTTAAAATATGTTTTAAATTTTAGTAACTAATTTTTTATCATAAATACGTGTTTTTTTATTAATAAATAAAAAATTATTAATCGCATAATTAATTGGAAAAAAAATTGTTAAAGTAATGTGTGTGTTTTTAAAAATTTTAAGCAAATCCCAAAGACAGAAAAACAAATGCCACTTTTTCCCAAAGACAGAAAAACAAATGCCATTTTTGCATAAGCAAAAATATAGAAAAGTGGCATTTGTTTTTCTGTCTTTTTTTAACTAAAGTTTGCACTTTAGTAGATTAGTCAACATAACGAGCGTCATTTATTGCAACATGAATAAATCCTTTAGACAAGCGTTGTTTTTACTGCTTATGAAAAAAGGTTTATATTTTCTTATTATAATAGAATGCAGGTATTTTTACAATTATAAAAATTAACTATTAAATTGACTGCCTTTTTTATTTTAATTAAAAATAATAAGTATATTTTAAGAGAAAAATTTGTACTTTTGCAAGAGCCATAAATTGCTCCCGCAAACTCTTTTAGGGGAGTGAAAATGAGAATGAGAGCTAAAGTTCTTGCTTCCCGCTGAGGCCTGCATATATATATATATATATATATATATATATATATATATATATATATATATATATATATATATATATATATATATATATATATATATATATATATATATATATATATATATATATATATATATATATATATATATATATATTTATATATATATATATATATATATATATATATATATATATATATAAAACTAGCAAATATAATTTTATATATATATATATATATATACATATATATATATATATATATATATATATATATATATATATATATATATATATATATATATATATATATATATATATATATATATATATATATATATATATATATATATATATATATATATATATATATATATATATATATATATATAATTATATTGCAAATATATATATATATATATATATATATATATATGTATATATATATATATATATATATATATATATATTTGCAATATAATTATATGCAATATATTATATGTATATATAATTATATTTGCTAGTTTTTAAAAAATAAGCGCTTGGAATACAATATTTCAATATTATAAATAACTTGATATGTCCACGTAATAACATTAAATTTATTTTATGTTATTACGTGGATAACATAAAATAAATTTTAGGATACTCCAATGGGAATTGTAGATTACATAACATTTGTGATTAGTATGTCCACATAATAACATAGGTTCTTTATCAATTATATATATTACTATATTTCATAATATATATTATTATAAATATTAATCATTTATTGTTAAACTAGCTAAACAAGAAAATAATTATAAAAGTTAAATTCAAAAAATTTACTCACCCCAAGCAAAACCACAAGATTTTAACATAAATATACGCGATCTATATGAACCACGAAAAACTTTCACAAACATTATATATAAATTTATTCCTTCAACAGCCATCCAGAAAAACGTTGACAAAATAAAATACTGTAAAAGTGATGCAACTATCTTGCATAAAAGTTGGGGTTGGGTGCGTTCAACCAAAGAAAGAAATATAATCATGGTCAGCATCAAACTAACACACAAATTGAGAAGAATTTGCGATGAAAGATTTGAACGTAATTTCCTATCAAAGTTTAAAAAAAGTTCTTTATGTTAAAACACGCAATTTTACATAATTAAATTCTTTATATACCAAAAAATCACACCTTTTACATTTAATTTTTTTGGTTTGTTTTATATATTACAATTTACGTAGCAATAAAAAGAGTATACAATAAAACTCCTTAGTTCTGAACAACTCCAAATTTTCTAAAACTACCCTCTTTTTATAAAGCATAAAATATAACTTGAATTTCAATACTGCTGTTTTGAATTAATAACCTATCTAACAGTTATTGGACCGGAAAAATTAAAACAATTAATAAAAACATAAAAAAAAAATAAAATTTATGCAGACCAGAAACACAAGCTTTTTGAACTTTATATTTTTAAAAAAATGACTTAACTTTTTTACGAATTAAAAAAAAAGTAAATACAAGGTTGCAACTAAACAATGATGTATTATTATTTATTAATATTTATTAGTATTATTATTACTATTAATATTTATTTAGAGTTACTAATTAAATAAACTTACGGGAAAATCAAATAGCTAAGGATGGTGAAAAATAAACCAGCAATAGAAATTCCACAACCAATCCATGATACAATTTGAAGAGATAAAGGATTGTAACCTGATTGATCAGTATCTAATATCAATGCAAAGTTAGTAAGATGATTACATTGACAGAAAACCTCTTCTGTTGAGCTTTTAGTTGTATTACATCCTTCAGCCGACCAAACTTGTTCTGTTAAAAAGAAATTTTAATTCAAACTCACCATTATTAAATTATAAAAATTAAGTTAAAAAAAAAATAATGAAAAGATGTAACCAATATATGTATATATATATATATATATATATATATATATATATATATATATATATATATATATATATATATATTTATTTATATATATATATATATATATATATATATATACATATATATATATATATATATATATATATATATATATATATATATATATATATATATATATATATATATATAAATATATATATATATATATATATAAATAAATATATATATATATATATATATATATATATATATATATATATATATGATATATATATATATATATATATATATATATATATATATATACATATATATATATATATATATGTATATATATATATATATATATATATATATATATACATATATATATATATATATATATATATATATATATATATATATATATATATATATATAAATATAAAATTATATATAAATATATAATTTTATACTAGACTAAACCAATAAAAAGTAAAAAATATAAAAAAAATAAATAGAAATAAACTTCAATAAACATAAACATGTATATAAACCATAAAAAAAGTAGATCAAAATATATTCTTAACTTTTACTACTAATAATAACTCAACGTGTTATCTCATTAAAGAATGAGGTTTTTCAGTTTTTTTTTAAAAAGAAAAAAACTAATAGGTACTTCAAAATTAAAAGTTGGCAAAACAGTTTTATTCCATATTTTTTTTTATGTGATGTTTAAGATAAGATTGACAATTAAGATTTATCTCAAAAGTTAAAAGACAAAATTAAAGTGAAAATCTTATACAGTATTATTAGGAAAAACAACTCTAACATTTCGTCTTTTATACATGGGTCTGATACTATTACTTCTTCCAAGGATAAGGCAGGATTATTTGAAAGAACTATTCGTTTAATTTGTCTCTTGAATTTTATAACAATACTCCGTTTAATTTGTCTCTTGAATTTTATAACAATACTCCAAAGGTCCTAATAAAAAACGTATATCTATTATAGTAACCGAGTCACGATCAACATGTGACATTTGTTTAAAGTCTATAGTTGACAATTTTAACATAAGAAATTGACATTGCAAATATCAACAGTTTTAGAATATATTAATTTTATTTTTAGCAATTTTTTCATTAACTAAATATTTGTCATAGTGATATAAAATTTTAAAAAATCTATCAGGTAGGTACATCAGGTAAAGATACCTTAGTAGAACAGGATATATATAAACAGATAAAGTAATAAAAGATGAATTCTTTTCTATTCTTACTAATAAAAAAAAAAAAAAATATTTCTTTAACTTTTTTTTACAAAAATATAATACTTATCCTTATAATACTTATTGTGTGTTTATGAAGTCTTTTAACTGTTCAATAATAAATTATTTAACAGTTAAAAGATCTTATAAACACAAAAAAACAAAATAGAATAAAAAATCAGAACAAACCTATTGTTTTATAAAATTGACATGTATTACTGCCTGTAGTATTTGTGTCACGCAAAAACATCATTGATATTGGATAGTTTGTTTTGTTTACATTTTGACCATTTATGGTAGCAGAAAGTATTACACTGTTTATTTTGGTTGAATGTCCTGCAAAAAAGACATTATTTTCTGAAAACACATATGAGTAAACTTGTGTTTTATTTTTTCCCATAAACAGTTGTGGGGGAAGCATAATGTAGGCTTTGATATTTTGTAAATAACTTCTTTCATCATTACTTGATATTTTTACACTCAAATTAGTTTGGCTTATTGTAGAGTAAATAAAAACTGGATTTTGATTGGTTTCAATTGAATATGATGCCAATGCCAGATTTTTCTTTGTTATTGTCACATTATCCATTTGCTGCTTTCCTAAATCATCCATTTGAGATAAAAAGTTAGAAGACACATTAAACTGCTTATTTGCTTCTGTAACCATGATTGGATGACTTAAAACAGTATCAATAGTTGAAAGAATATAATTGGTAACCTAGAAATCAATAAAAGAAGAAAACAATAAGTAGCCTGGAAACTAATTTAAAAAAATGATTGTTAATCTTTTTCAAATTTTATTTTGGTTTTTATTTATGGAGTGAATAAAAGAAAGTTTTTACCTGATTGTAATTTTTTTTTTTTTAACTTTATTAATAGAAAACTTATTGATGCAGTGATGCTCGATTTACTGATAAATCAACAATAATAAAAAAAAAATTAATACTATCTATATTAAAAGAGAAACAAAAGTTGGTAGAAACACAATTTGAACTATGGTTCAAGAAATATAATATAGTTATACCTTGGTTTGAGGTTAAAATAGTCCTTGTGAAATGGTTTTTAATTTTTTTTTCTTCAAGTTAAATGCTCATGGTTCTACACTTGGGTAGTTTCAAAAGTTTGTAAAACAACACATGCAAATGTGTTGTTCCAATAGGTTTTCTAGCTATCTCAGCAATTTTAACGAGTGTGTGTTATAATAGTTAATATGAAGGGAAGGGAAGATGTTATTATTAAGCACTGGTGCTTAATTGTTATGCATATTAGTAATATCTTAAAATTATTAAAAAGATAGCTACATTAGATTATAAACAAAAGATAGTCACATTAGACAATAAACAAAAGATATTTTCATTAGACACTAAATAAAAGATAGTTTTATTACTATCTTTTATTTATTGTCTAATGTAACTATCTTTTATTTATTAAAAATTTAATAAAAAAAAGATATTTAGATTATTTTTTTTACTAAATTTACAAGTTACAACAATTTATTTTTTAGTATGTGTGCAACTGCAAAACAATTTATTTTTTAATATATGTGCAACTGCAAAACAACTTAATTTTTTTCCTAAATAAATTTGCAAATAAAACTTACAATTTACTACAAGTGTAATTTTAGAAAAAAAGCTTTTTAATGCTATTTTAATTCTTGTATATGTATAGTGATCAACCAGAGGATTGATTTTATCAAAGCTGAGCATGGTTAGTCATTTTATCAAAGCTGAGCATGGTCAGTTAAAACTTATAAAAAAATTATAAAAACTTATAAAAAAAATAGTTATCAAATCAAATCAAAAATATTTCAAAACAAGACTTTTAAGGAAATTGACAATAGTACAGATACTAATATAAATTAAATACCTAAATATACAACATAACAATAAAAATAATAGTAATAATAAATGATTTCAATAATATTAATAATAAAAATTATTTATGTAATAATTGAAGTGATATGGTAGTGATGCAGTTATTGGCATAACTCAATTATTGGCACTTTTCATTTTCTATTATAAATTTTATTTCCAATTAAACATTAAAAACTTTTTACTGTATAACAAGCATAATTTATTACAATTAAAGTAAAAACTATAACTTCAATTCTTTCATAAAAATTTAATAACAGCATAAAGGAAACACAATAATTTGATGCAAATGTCAACCTAGGTATGGTTGACATTTGAAATTGAGAACATTATTTGGGTTTTATGATTCATTTTTTATAGTCAGAAGACCAAAATGATACCAATGGTAATATGTTGCTTAAAAGCCAAAAGAATAATTTTTGTATCACTACACAAAAAAAATATAAAGCAAAGATCCATCTTTATAATTCACTTATAATCTAACTTTAAAATAATGAGGTAAATTTTTAAAATTTATTATTTTTATTTTGTACAAAAAGTGTCACATAATTTAGGGAACCTACAAGAACCAATATTAAATAGTTAAACTAGTAAACCATATAAGACTTCCAATAGCATAGATATAAATTCTTATACTATTTTTAGCTACTATTTTTAATTCATTTTAATAAAGTACTGATACTCAGATAAAAAGATAATTGAAGACAACAATAATTTGAACTGTTATTTACAGCAACTTCAACAGACATAGACTATGAGATGTTGTAACTTCAGGATTCATCAACAATCAGCCAATACTAAATTCCTCAAATGAAATCAATGAAACTGGGGCACAAGGTAATTTTATTATAGTTTTTTTCCTGTTAATACAGAGAGTTCTGTCAACTCAGAGCCCAATCCTATCAATTCTACTAACTTGTACAATAACTTAAAGAAATTTAGAAATAATTCATTTATGGGTTTTATACTTTTTTTTGACTAATGCTTCATTAAAGGTTTTGAATTAGATGTGGATGAAGTTTGCCATTATTTGTAACAGCAATCCTTAGATCAAGATTAAAAATAAAAATAACGTATAATAATAATAATAATTAAGTCAATATTGAAAAAAATACTCAAAGTTCCTGTAGCAAATTAACCTGTAAACAAACAAACAAAAACGTCTAGTGTATGCTCTATCTACACAAGAGCATAGAAAAACACTTATGAATAAAGATAATAAATCGACAGAGGATGAAAACTGGATTTGTTATGTGTGCAAAGCGAGTTGTTAAGAAGAAAGGAGATCGAAGTTGAATTGTGATTCAAGTGGTTGAGCTGTTGTGTGTTTGAAAACCATAAAAATCATACAAATATGAAAAAACTCATTAAAATAAATTTCTTTTTGTGCGCCATAAATTTGACTATAAAACTTAATTTTTTTTCTTTTATATTCACAAAAGTTGAGATTTTTGTTGGTAAAATACAATTTTTACTATATGTATTCAGCTACATTTTTGTAGATGTTGCATAAGAAAAAAAAAAAAAAATTTAAAAAATGATTAGGTTCTCTAGATCTGAATTAAAATTGGTGCCAATAATTGATTCGCAAGTGCCAATAGCCAATAATTGATTCGCAAGTGCCAATAGGCAATAATTGATTCGCAAGTGCCAATCGCCAATAATTGAGTCAAAGCGCCAATAGCTTAGGGCAACAAATTGATCAATTTCTAATGTTAATATAAAAAAGACTTTTTGTAATAATGATATATTATATTACTAATTAACAAAGGAAATTTTAAAAAACTGGGGGCACTCTTCCTGAGTGATTTTTTATAACATTTATGAAGGTTATCAAATTGAAAACAGTTTTTTCACAAAACCAAGAGCAACTTTAAAAAATTATTTTAGTATTACAACTTTTTAAAACTTATTTGAATCATTTAAATTAGAAAATCTTTGGTTTGTCGATGTTTTTACTTATGTTTATGCATATTATATATATATATATATATATATATATATATATATATATATATATATATATATATATATATATATATATATATATATATATATATATATATATATATATACTTACTAAAGCGTGTTTAGATAAGCATTTGGTCACTTTTTCTTCTTACCTTTAGCTATACCATTTTTTTCGAAAAAGAAGAAAAAACGAAGAATGATGAATGAAACAATTGCTTCCCCATCCCAAACCCTCAGTCGATGTAGTAGAACTCCACTGCGAGTCAGGCTATTTGTCAGTCGATGTATGTACTGAAGCCCCCAGCAGCAGGCTATTTCAGTATGACGTCAGATTGCTTACCTTAGTACGCAATACTATTTGTATATATATATATGTTTATATTTATGTCAAAATAAAAATATTTATATAATTCTTATTTTTTATATATATATATATATTTATATTTATATATGAGTATATATATATATGAGTATATATATATATACTCATATATAACCCTCGGAATTAGGGTCGGCATTCGGCAATGCCAACCTAAAAGTGTTTGAGGTCGGCAAATATTACCAACCTTGTTTCTATGTTTTATGGTAAGACCTTCGTATCAATTTTTTTTTGCCGACCTCTAAAAGATTGAGGTTGGCAAATTATTGCCGACCTCATTTTTCCTAATTCCGACGGTTGTATAGAATATATACAACCCTATATATTTATATTTTTATTTATTTTAATTTTATAAATCTTTATTTAAAATTGAATAGCATTATAAGTAATGAATTGTACAATTTTGTCTGTCTTTTAATGTTAATAGTTTTCTAAGAATGCAGGTTAAGAAACATATCAATTATGCATTGAAAAGTCAGTAGCTCCCAATATTGCTTGGTAGGTAAAGGTCACTGACGCCATCACGAAGGATACAGAGATATTTTTGAATAAAAGATTTTTGGTAAGTAGTAGTTTTTGCGGTGTTAAGAGCATACAGGAATCTATTAGGGTTTCTGCTGTTGGTGTAAGTTAGTTTAAAGGTTATAGGATGGCATAAGTCTGCAAGGATCATTTTGAGTATATTAATACAGATCCTGTCTAGTAACTCTTCAATGTTAAAAATAATATTGAAGCTGCTTGAGTTGATTACATCAATTCCAATAATGTGTAGGGCATTTTTATGAAAATGTTGGATCTCTCTTTTTGCAGCAGCACTGCATGAAGTAAGAATAGGAGCACTATATATCAAGTGGCTAATAGCGTAAGATTGGTAGACCTGTAAAAGGTTTGACTGAGTGTGTCCAAGTTGTTTAAGACGTTTGAGTAGATATGGCACTGATTTTATATTGTTGTGAACTTTTTTCCACTGTTCATCACAATCAATATTCTCATTGAGCATGATTCCAAGGTATTTGTGGCTGCTGACTATTTCAAGTTCAGTATTATTGAGTACAGGGGATGGTAAAGCATAAGTCTGCAAGGATTTTTGGAGCACCTAGGAATAATTGTTATGATTTTACATTTAGGGCCATTAAGTTTCATTCCGTTTACCATAGACTAAAGAGTGACGCCATCAACAATATATTGAGGTAGGTTTGGAGGAACTTTATCATTTATTATATAGGTCAGTATGTCATCAGCATATTTTTTGAGGATGGTTTCAGGTGGAAGATAGACGTTAATGTCGGAAATAAATAGAATGAACAGGATTGGACCTAGAACACTACCCTGAAGTACACCAGCTTCAATACATTTCCATTCAGTGGTGTGATCATTTGTTTTAATTCTTTGTTGACGGTTAGATAAGTAAGCTGCAATCCAGGAAGTGAGCCAGCTAGGAAGTAAGTTTACTAACTTTAGAAGTAAGTTGTCATGACTGACAAGATCAATAGCTTTTTCGAAATCAAAGAATATTGCATAAATTGATTTGTTGTTATCTTTTGCGTGACTCCAGTTCTCTATAATTTGAATAATAGCATCCATTGTAATTCAGCCTTGAAGGAATCCGAACTGTTTGTTTGAGACCCATAAGTGCTTGGTGTGATGGACAATAAATTTGATGATAGTATGTTCAAAAACTTTACAAAATGTGGATGTAATGGCAATTGGATGATAGTCATTAGACGAGTGTGGGTTAGAAATTTTGGAATCTGATTTATGTTTGCTGATTTCCATTGGTCAGGTAGGTAACTGTTTTCTATGAGGCAGTTGAATAGGATGCAGAGCGATAGGGAAATTTCAAAGCGAGCAGATTTGAGTAAAAATGGAGATAGGTCATCTGGTCCTGAGGACCCTGGTTTGAGTTTGCTGAGTTGGTTGAAAATGTTATTTTAAGTAAAAATTAGGGTAATAGACGGGTTTGCCTCTCGGTTGATGAAGCACGAGAGGTTAGGTTGTTTATTACCAATCCAAACACTTTGAAAGTGATCATTAAATTGGTTTGCTAGTGTCGCAGAGATAGGGGTGGTGATTTGACCTTTATCAGCAAGACTGATTTCACGCCAAAAACCTGTTTTTCTAGAAGTGAAACGCCTGTTATAGATTCTCTTTATTTTGGTAATTAGTTTACAAATTTGATTTGCAAGTGATTTCCACTCTTTGTAGTACCCAGAAAAAAAGACTTTTTGACGCTATTTTATAAGGCCTGTATATATATATATATATATATATATATATATATATATATATATATATATATATATATATATATATATATATATATATATATATGAAATAAAAATGAAAATGAAAAATGCAGAAAATGAAAAAATACTTTTTCGTTAACAAAATGAATTACGTCATTATTATTTTGTTGACAAGGTTCTAATTGAAAAATTTTATATTAGGAGAATTTAGAAAAAAAAATATATATATATTTTTTCAATGTTAATTAAAATTATTTTTATTATTGCTTTTTTATTTGTTTATTTATTCTTATTTTATTTGACAATAATACACATAATAAATAAAATTAAGAATTATATAAATATTTGTATTTAGACATTAAAAAAAAAAGATTCATTTGCTATTCTCCTAATATAAAAAAAATCAGTTAGAATTTTTTTTGTTTTTGCTTTATTAAACAAATAGTTTGTAATTATGGGTCATCCATTAAGCACATCACCCTATATTTGTCAAATTTTAACCCCTTTCCTCCATTCAAAAACAATTACATATACCTGAACATATACCTAGCCATATACCTAGCCTATACTTAGCCATATACCTAGCCACATACCTATACCTAGCCATATACCTAGCCTATACCAGATATACCTGAACCTATACCTGAATATATACAGCAGTTTTTTGTCAAAAATATTTCAAAAGATTTAATGTAAATATTTTGCAGCATTATAAAAATTCAACCAAATGAAAATAAGGAAATATGCATAAACGTAATAAGTGTAAATAAAAACTTTAACAAACCAAAGATTTCCTTATTTAAACGATTCAAATAAGTATTAAAAAGTTGTAATACTAAAATAATTTTTAAAGTTGCTCTTGGTCTTGCAGAAAAACTATTTTCAATTTGATAACTTTTATAAATGTTATGAAAAATCACTCAGGAAGAGTGCTACCAGTTTTTTAAAACTTCCTTTTGTTAATTATTTTTAATTAATGAGTTCAATACTTTTGCAACTGTTTTGTTACATAACTCTAACTCAAAATAATAGAAGTAAAAAATCCACGATAATAATCACAAGGTAACGTAACAACTTGGTAAAGTTGTTGCATGTATAACGTAAGTTAAAAATGGAATTGCTCATATACATGAACACACACACACACACATATATATATATATATATAAATTTATACATACACACACACACACACACACACACACACACACACATATATATATATATATATATATATATATATATATATATATATATATATATATATATATATATATATATATATATATATATATATATATATATATATATATATATATATATAAGCAGTAGTGGTGTAGTGGCAAGAGCGCTCGCTTTGTAAGCGAGAGGTTCGGAGTTTGACTACTACCATGTCCCTGAAAGTACCGTGCTCAACTTAATTTCTCCGCACAGCGGCCTTGCTTATCAAGATTCGTGTTTCGGAGTTAAAGAGTTGAGAGAGGGTTGCACCACAATTAACAAAAAAAAAAAAAAAATGAGTAGCCTCCTTAACTGTAGTGGCCCCCTAGGGCCTTGGGAATTAATTAAAAAATATATATATATATATATATACATGCGCGTGAGTGTATGTATAAATATATATATATATATATATATATATATATATATATATATATATATATATATATATGCGTGTGTGTGTGTATATGTATAAATATATATATATATGTGTGTGTGTGTTCATATGTATAATGGCAATTCCATTTTTAACTTACGTTACACATGATAATGATATATATATATATATATATATATATATATATATATATATATATATATATATATATATATACATACATACATACATTTCCAAATCAAAAACACACACAGGCGTATACATGCACATACATATATATAAAAGTCTAAAGATTGTTTATTTGATGTGACTTATTTGATTAATTCTAGATGTAACCCCCTGATTGGTAAATTTGATAACTTTTAAAATCAATTTGTAAACTTGATTAAGTTTTAGGGTGTTAGCTAAAACCCCGGCTAGTTTTACTATATAAGAAAGGTAGAAATTAAAACATGCTGTTATTATCAGTGTTGGACCCCTGGTTGGTCAGTATAGGTGTAATATATATTAAACCCACACAAGCACTATTAGATAGAAATGCAGCAATCAGCTGATTTTTATTAAATTTTCTGTTTTTCTGGATTTATTTTCTTTTATATTTTTTTGTATCAAGCTATTTTTTAAGTTACAACTCTAACAACTAACTAAATTTATTTCTCTTAGTTAAAAATAGTAAATAAAAACAAAAGTAAGCATTATGGTTTCTATGGATATTTTGCGAAATCCGAATAAATAATATAATAAATTTTTTAATTAAATATACATACTGCTAATGAAGAAAAATTCACTTTAATGATATTGGTAATAAGAGTAGAAATCAAATTTATATCGTATACAGTAGAAAGGTTTCCTCTTTGCGTAACCTGATTTAAATTAGATGCAGCTGTTGGAGCGTTTGATGCTGTAACAACAATCTAGAGTAAAATAATTTTACAATTTTAGTGAAAATAATATAACAAATAAAAAAACTTTTTATAAAACCACATTTTTGTAATGAACTAAAAAGTAGAAAATAATTTTCTCTTGTGGCTATAGAAATTTTTGAAAATTAATTGAGTCAATAGTAAGTGACATAATACCTTTTGATTATGAACTCTTAATAATTACGATAATATTTGTAAAATTTTAAACGAAAAACGTGGTGCGCATCTTGTCACTTTAAATGATCATCATCGTCCTTAATTACTTTAACTATTGCTTCCTTTTTCTGTTCTTTTTTTTCGTTAAATGCACACCACATTTTTTATTTTTTTAATAAGCAATTTTTTTAGTTTTTTCTTTTTTTAGTTGCTTTAATCATTTCTTTATAATTTATGCTTACTGTTAAAACGTGATCTTAATTTAGTAAACTTGTTTGATTTGAAATTTACTGTATTAATCATTAATCAACAGGGAAAAACTGAAATTCTAAAAAATTGAAATAAAAATCATTTTATTCATTAGAACATTGCAAAACCAATTTTTACGGATAACTGTGTTATAACGACTTCTATTATCCTCATAAAAAAATATTTAATAAATCATAATTTTTAAAAAGTTTTTTTTTAATACTGCAACTAATAATTAATAGTTATAATTATAACAATTATAACAAAATAACAACTTAATAGTTTATATTTATAATTAATAGACAATAGATTAGAATAATTTAAAAAAATTAATATTTAAAATATACTTGATTCAAGTTTATAAGTAGCTGAGTAGTCTGTGATTTTGCAGGACAAACTGAAAGATCAACAGGTTCCCATATAGATTTATTAAGTGAACTTAATATACATTTTCTTTGGATTATCAAGCTGTTGTTGTATACACAACTTAATGAAGAAACAGAGTTGACTGTAGTATTAGAGAATTTATAAACTCCTGTAAAGTTCTCATCTCCAACAATTTCTGTGCTGCAGGACTCTAG